TTATCTTATATCAGTCTTATCGTATATCAGTCTTATATTATGTCAGTCTTATCTTTTATCAGTCTTATCTCACATCAGTCTTATCTTAATCGTTCCACGAAGGCCTAACCTGTCCCCAGCGAGAGTGAGACAGCCTTGACCTTTGTGACCAGAAGAATTTAATTTAACATTGTTCAGTTAACGTGGATTAAAGTCTTACGAATTTCCAAAACTGGCCGACATGGAGTGGATTTTAAATCGCTTGTTTGTCATAGGTTATGAAAGTTCACTTAGAAATTCTTCCCCCAGATCGAAAGTTAAGACTTTGCTCTGTGTTCCGATATGAGGTTACACAATTCGCCAATTTTTATCATCTCATAGGGAACATGTTTTTAAACAAAATTAAGTCGAAATAAATATTCATCTGAGGTAAGGATTGCATCATTTCAATTTGAATATGTTCGCATTTAAATATGATTAGTATTATCAATTTAAACAAAAATTATGTAGTGTTCATTTTTTTTTTTTTAATTTTGCTACACATTAATCACTTGAGTTTTCCAGCGCTAAACGTACGAGCCCAACCGCTGAAGGATCTATTTTTCTGCAAGGCGCACATTGGCGGCAACAAGGGACGTGGCTTCCTGATACACAGGTACCGTGGAGTACACTGTTGGATATGTCGGTTATTTTCAATTTCAGTCATTAAAAAAATGTAAAAAAAAAAGCCCACATATTCTCTTTAAACAATTTCTAAAGAAGTGAAGTTTAATTTTTGGCTGTGACTATTCGTACCCGGGTACCAGAAGTGAAAGGTCGGAATAAAAAAAAAACTATTTAAAATATTATAGTTGGGTTTTAAGACAAAAATGAGGTATCAAATGAAAGATAATTGAATGGACTATATGTTAGTAAACTTACTTCTTCAGTTTAACTAAAACGAACTACATAACAGTAGGGGACAATTGAAGCACTTTCTGTAGAACACGGGCATTATGTCTATATCGAATGAGTTACTGGTTCAGCAGATTTCCCTTCGGCTTTTGACACAGTACAAAAGAGGACCAGTGACTGCCTAGTGGTTAACTTGTCCCTCTGCGTAGATAAACGCTGTGAGCTACAATCGGCAGTAGATGTCAGAGGTGTGCACATTTCGCGCCTGATATGAAAGACCATACATTTGTATTTGCAGGTGCTGTAATCTAGACGCATCCCATGAAGTCCACTGCCAGGATGTGATGATAGATCGCTGGGTAGAATATCTGCATGTTTTTATAATGGCTATGGTGGCGATACTCGTCATCAACTTACCTCGGATAATTCAAAGGCTGTGCAGGTACAAACATTAGAAGAAAAAACCAACACATGAGCACGTTGTGTGTTATCTTGAGTTTAAAAACCTCTGAATCTAACATTGTTTTTTTTCTTCTTTTTTATGTATGAGCAGAGGAAGAAACAATGTATCTATGTTACAACAGAATTCTTAGTAGTAAAGAGACAATAATTTTACAATAATTTATTTTTATTTAAAAATAGAGAAATTTGATGGAACACTTTGAGTATACCCTAATGGTCTGACGTTTTTATGAATGCTCTACACAATTTATGAAATCATGTTCTTGCATTAGATTAATTTAGTTTCAAAAGTCTGTATTTATAAAGACCACGAATTGTGTCTTATAAGATAAATATTAGATTCTCAAACATTTTAATAGATAAAAAGAACATATATCATCAGACTAAATAGTGTGTATTAATTGGTACTTATTTAGAAGAAGAAAGTCTAAATAATTTTTGCCTTAAATATTATGTATTATTCACAAAATATGTCGTACATTATTCTCATTGAAAAAAATAAATGTGTATGTAACCTACTATGTAATGGGATCCGATACTTAATTCTTTTGAGACTAAAAATGGTGAAAATATTTTGACTACTTCCAGCCATCCATTAACAACCATTATTTCCCAACAGAGTTGTCAGATACACCTTTACAACACCGAAGACGAAGAAATTTGAATTTTTTATCAAGATAATTACAGGAAAGTAAGTTCGTTTTGAAGTAATTATTTGACTGTGAAGATATTGCCCATTCCTGTGGCTCTAAAGCCCCTGTGTGTCTTTGACCTGCCTCACCACTTCCATCCAACACATCCCTGTGACGTTACAGACCATGTAGGGCTTTGGCCTGTCTCACCACTTCCTTGCACTCTGTGGCGTAACGTCAAATGTAGGTCTTTGAGCTGACCCACCAATTCCTTCCATTCTGTGGCGCTACGGCCCCTACAGGGCTTTGGCCTGCCTCCCCATTTCCTTCCACTCACACCTACAACTGACGCCTTTCATTTCAATGCCTGAACTCCACGCTGCTTCGTTGCTATGGATAATATTGATGCATAAATGCCAAATGGAAGATTACTTCTTTCCTTTTAACTTTTAAACTAATACACTTAAATACACCTCGACTGTTATCTTGATGTCAGTAATGCTAAAAATGTAGCCATCCGGATAAGTATTGTTTATTTCTTTCCAACTGCAGGATGGAAAAGAAGGACCCCAGCCACAGGTAATTTATTTGAGAATATGTTCCAAAGGTTTGTTCATAAAAAAACTAACATTTGGGGAAATTCATGAAAGTGAGTCTAGTTAATATTCATTACCCTTGAGAATGAAAAATTTTAAAATAGCCGAATTCCTACAATAATCACATAATCAAAAAAACAACAACAAGGAGACCACCTAAACAAAGAATAGAAATGTAGAACAATTTCAAAAAGAATTCTTTTCTAGCTTTGCTTTATAAATAGATGCATATAACAACACACACACACGCACACACACACACACACACACAAATATATATGTATATATAAATAAATATATATATATANGAGGCTTCTGTAAGCTGTTGTATTATTAAAGCAATTTGGTTAGCGCTAATGTTCAAGTAAACATTTAAGTATTTCCAGCTCATCTAACAAACTCTGAAACGTCTTTTTTTTGTCTACAAAACAAAAACAAAAAAATTATACTAATTTGAATTGCAACAAAAACCTGGTAAGGACACATTTTCTCCCTCTTTTACAGATTTTTACAAATAGATTTTAAATCGTTGGAAAACATGGACAATTTTACTGAAACATTAAACCCATACCAAGCGGACAATGGCAAAGTCTACAAAGTTCACGTGAAGGAGGCTGTTTTGGAACTTTCCGAAAATAAGATATTTACGCGCGGAAGAGGGAAATTCAGCTTACAAAGAGCTCTTTCCGAGTTGTCCAAGGTAGGTTAAAAGACTACGCCATTTGGCTCAAACTGTGAACAAAAAATGATTTTAATAGAATTTTGTTTGTTCGGTAGATTAAGGAAAGGCATGAATTCTTTTTTTTTTTTTGCCACCTAGTTTTTAAAAATAAATAATACTACGAATTAAGTAAACCTCTTAGTAAGTAGAAATCGCAACCTGGATAGAACAGGAAAGTGGCGTCGTTGACTACGGTGCATTTAGTTGAGAAGTGCGCATGCAATTTTAATCAAATTGTTCATTTTTTTTCCCTTCAATGTTTTTTTACTGCAACTCCCGGGAAAAACAGTGGCGAACTCAGACGTTCTTAAAAAAAAAAAAAAAAAAAAAAAAAAAACCTTGTATTTTCACTCGTTCTGTCTGCAGAGGAAGGCTTTTAGCCGCAACGTTCTTCTCTTACTGTCCCGCGTTTTCTAGTCCAAGCTTCCACAAACCCTGTTCTTCTTTTGCCTTCACACAACTTGAACGCAGTCCTTCGTTTAGAATCTTTGATAAAATTGGCGTGAAAGGCGATACATGAATAGGTTACCGGAAATTTGATCGAAATAAATTTCGTTGACGGAAAATTGATCGACGGACTATACTATATAGTAAAACCAAAAAATGCGTTCAAAATGAAATTTGAAGCAAAATTTTAACGTTGGAACTGCCGTCCCTTGCACGGAAGCTGACACGGCCCAGCGGTCGACTAAATGTTGCTGTAGTTACGAGTGTGATGTGTGTCCAGTTCACAAGTACAAAGACAACAACGAAACCACACTACAATGATCATTTCGAATCGTTGTAATATTTTTTTTATACGCGTCAACAATTAGAAATCACAGACTTTATGGATTTTAAAAAAAATTAAGTAGCTTTATAGATTTAATTTTTTTTTTAAATTGATTTCATATTTTTATTAGATTAAATAGATTGATTTAATAATTAATGTGTGTGTATGTGTGCAAATATGGCTCCTATAAAAGGATTAAATTTATTCCTCAGATGTGTCAACGTTTTTGGGGAGATGGTGAGCCTGCCTGCAACGATTGCTGCTTTACTTTGTGCTGCTTCCTTTCACTCTGTCTTAGAGCCATCAGCGCACTATACCATGTGTTTTGTAATAAAACATTTCTTTTGATGGTGGTGCTGGCCTCACCCAGCGTTCCCATTTTGTATTCCCTGTGGTTAGATGACCTGTGGTACAAGGAGTTAGACAGGGCTTACAGGAAAAGAGGACTTACAGCGCCGTTTAATTTAAACTTTTACTTATATGCCGAGCATGCGTATAGCTTCGTAATAGTTCTAAGTATTTTCTATGTGCTTCATTTCGTGTTAATCATTTGTTCAAGCGGAAAAGCAAGAAACTTCTACACCGCGATGTTCGATCAGTCTGAAAATTGTATAGCAGAGCGTCTAAAGAAACAGAATAGAAAGACATATACAGCTAAAATATTTTTCTTTTTGTTATATACAGTTTACCTGTTCTTGAAAATCCCACCGTTTAGCTTTGTAACAATTGTATTGTCTATACCTTGCAAAAAATTACAAGGTAAATGCAAAAAAATTTGTGAATGTGTATATTATATCCTGATGGGGGTTTCCGCCTTTTTCGTCATCATTATGCTAATGCTGGGCGCCATGTTTTTAGCTGGAGTCGTGGTCATTCTTATCGTGGTTGTAACATTTGAAGGAGGGACGATCTATAACGTCATTCCGGTTGCCTTCTGGCTGGCGGTTTATCTGTGGACGTCTTTGAAAAATCTCCACACGCCCTTTGACCTCTTCATGGGTACTCTGTTTGAGACGGGCATTTGCAGGGACTTATACATTGATGGCCAAGTTCAGAACGATGTTCAGAATGATGTTCAGCACGATGCGAATAGTAAGTTTACTGTGTAATTAGCTCGTTAGAGTACATGCTATAAAATTCTAATGAACATTGAACTTTTTTGTTGTTGAAATATATGTGTGCCATTTCTTAACGTAGGGTGCTGGGTGGCCGAGTGGTCTAAATTGAGCAATTCTCAAGTTGGTGGTCTGGAGTTCAATTCCAGCTAGAGCAAAAACACCACCAGCACCCCGGGTAGATGGGACTCGCTAACCTTGGACGGCAACTCATCTAAGAGAAGGAAACTCTGAAATCAAACCCTAGTTGGTGGTCTGGAGTTCAATTCCAGCTAGAGCAAAAACACCACCAGCACCCCGGGTAGATGGGACTCGCTAACCTTGGACGGCAACTCATCTAAGAGAAGGAAACTCTGAAATCAAACCCGGAGAAGGAGTCCCGAAAGGCGGATAACATTGATACAATGAAACATTCCGACAACTCCTGCGACGTCACTGGAGCCAAGCAGTATCATCCAATGATGTCCCGAAAGGCGGATAACATTGATACAATGAAACATTCCGACAACTCCTGCGACGTCACTGGAGCCAAGCAGTATCATCCAATGATGTTCCCTTGGGTTACCCAGCGGCGTGGAGAGAGGCGATTTGCTGTTGGGAACCAGCTTATAATCCTTCAAGTATAATAATCCCAGGCCATGTGGATTTCGTCCTACGAAGCCCACTCCATCGTCACATTGTGACGGACGGATGCCAGCATTTCTTAACATAAAATACATTGAGATTTTAAATTGAATGCGAACTTTAAAATAATTGTAAAAAAACGCATTTATATTAAGATATTTAAAAAAACAACTAAATTTGTTTTATATAAATTATGTTTAATTGCCCTTTTTAAAACAATTTTATTTTGAGCAAATTGTGTTTCGTTAGATGTTGTCTGTAGTGTTCACATAGTGACAGATTACTGTTGAAAAAAAATATTTTTCAATATTCAGTGGATCAACAACCAATCAACTGTTTCGATGGCCTATCAGGCTTTGAGTTTAAGAATAACACACTGCGGATGACGCTCAAGCATCCCTTTCTAGACATCTATAGATCTAGAATTTCAAAGGACTTCTTCTACCACTGTGTTAGTATGGACCATGTAAGGGCACCAGGTACAGCATTGAAAAATAACTGGAAAGTAAGTTATTTAGTTATTGAATAAAATTACATATATTCGAATTTTTTTTCGGACTTACTATTTCTAAATTTTTTCCCCATAAAAATTGTGAAATATTAATATTTATTCCCCGAGATTCAAATAATGAAGAAGATTCTTTTTAAAGCTTTTCTTTTCTGATCTTATTTTGAACAAGCATATCAAAAAATTTTTGTTGTAAATTATAGTTTTTAAAAAAATGATCCAGGCACAGACACTTACTCAACGGAATACTAACACACGATGTTTAGCCTTTAATTCCAAGTGTTCTTTAATACTGGGTCTTACAATGACTTATCTATGAAAACAAACAACAGCCTTCTTTACACAGTTTCTGACATCTACATAAGCTCAATCTTTTCACGTTAAATCTCTACCGCCCCAAAACACGTCCTTGATTCGTTCATGAAATTTCTTAGAATTTTGAGATAGTGCTATCCTCATAAACACGACACGAACTTCCAATTTTCAACGACACCCCTAAGTCTCCAGTCTGCACTAAACTATCAGTCCTGAAACTCACCGTACTTTTTGCTAACGGTGGTTTTCTCTTGGTTGCCATGCATCCCATAGAAGAGAAAAGGAAGATTCGTTGGGCAGTTGTTTTCTGGAAATGTGTCCTCAACGGTGGGAAAAAAAAAGTTTTCATAATTCACCATTATGTTTGCTCGTTCGTACGTACGTAATTGAAAATAGGGATCTGTTTGAAAAAAGTTTGCTGGAGAATTCCGAGAGATATGTAAAAAAAAAAAAAAAAGAAGGTGGCATGTAAAGCGATAATGTTGTCAATCGTTGAGTCTCCTTCGTCAAACACGGACCAGATGGGGGGGTGAGTTATCAATTCTGTACATTTTGTTTCATACTGTATTTCCGGGAAAAAACTGCATTTCCTTATTCTCAGTGTGCATTTATTGATTTGAGCGCCTGTAACAGCAACGAGTTGTAAGACACTGCTATCCTCATCTCCTAAACGACATGCACACAGTTACATGATTTAGGGTCCTCAGCATGTTTAATCAAAGGGCCTGTTCACTGTCCATCAGGTGTTGTTAAGCGCCGGACTGTAGTTTAAAGCATGAGATATATACACAGCACATACATTTAAAAAAAAAAAACAAATGAAACCAAACAACGCAGCAAAAAATATGTAAAAAGAATTAAAATGTTACTCAACTTAAATTGATTCATTTCTTTTTTAAAATTTGGAGCATTGGTATTTCTTTTATCAAATGAGATAGGCAATTTCAGATACGATATTTGTCACTTCTACCCGGGTTCCAGTGCGGTGGGTTAATGACCCCTTTGCGGTTCGTACGCGGTCCACGGGCAGAAGTTTGAGGAACCTCTTTCAAAGCATAAATTCCAACCTGTTTGCGTAATATATATATATATATATATATTTTTTTTCTTCTCTTCGCAGGCCGTACTTCTATTTTGTAGGCTGGGAGCTTTCATCACTTTTGTGTATCTCGTCCTCATGGCGTACGGCAACATTCTCTTCATTTCGCCAACCAATAGAGCGTTCGTGACATTCGCGGCTGGCATACTGCCGAGCGTTGTGGAAAAGCTTTACGGCGATGACTCGGCTCTGAAGAAAATTAACCCGGCAGACGAACGGTAACACGGAACGTGGTTTCAATTATATTTATATTTTTTTCGGTACATGGAGAGCTAATTTAGAATTTGAGAAATCCATTTTATCATAGTTCCTAGACATGATGTTCAGTGGTAACAAGTGTAAAAATGAATTCACATACAAAAGAAAAAAAAAAGAAAGAGTCAATAATCTAGTTTCAAAATGAGCAATTACTATTAAAATAGTTGTACGAACGATACACGAAAAAATGCATAGCAATATGAGCAATATGTTGTTTTTCTTTTTAAATCAACAGATTACGTAATGAATTGGAAAAAAAGATACATTCTTTTACTGAAAAGTGGATTGTTCGCGATTTGACCGTTGACAAGCTGTCACAAGTTTACTCCAAACAAATTCCTGATTTGTATATTATCAAAACAGGTGAAGTATGGGCTTGAGGCTAATCAAATAAGTTAAAATTGGTACCGTGATTACAGTTGTAAAAAAAAAAAATAGATACGTTTTGATGGGTTCAGTTTGAGCAGTTTATATTGTTTACCTCTAAGTTTTGGAAAAGTTGTACATGCCGATTTTGTTTCTTTACTGCAACAACTTTGGCCCAATAGCTTAGAAGATTGTTTTTTTTTTCTATTGCAGGACAATCAGACAAGAAGTCTAAGGAAGATGTGGGTGAAACTCATAACAAAAAAGATGTAGAAATATGGCGTCCAATACCTACAAAAAATATACAGATTTTTGAACAGCAGGTGTGAAGCTGCGCTAAAAGGTTAACACTGTAGTATTTTATTTTGTCATTGTGATAAATGTAACTTGTTACAATCCATTAGAGGGCAGATTATTATAATCATCTTTATTTTTTAGAACAATACTTTTTTCAGAATTAAAACATCTTTCTTTTCGTGAGTTTATTTAGAAAAGCACAATAAGAACTAAAAAAAAAAAAAGATTTTTTTTTAAATATATGTCTTCTTTTCTTCTTTTGTCTTCTTTTCTTCTTTTGAAATATAAACTTATTTGTAAGCTGATAGACAAGAGTAGACTTATTTGTAAGCTGATGGACTAGAGTAGACTTATTTGTAAGCTGATGGACTTGAATAGACTTATTTGTAAGCTGATAGACTAGACTAGACTTATTGGCAAACTAATAGACTAGACTAATTGGTCAGCTGATAGACTAGAATTAATTCAAAGCTTATAGAAAGATTAGACTTATTTGTAAGCTGATATACTAGACTAGACTTATTTGTGTAGCTGATAGTCTAGATCAGATTTATTTGTAAGCTTATAGACTAGACTTAATTGTAAGCTCATAGACTAAACTAGACGTATTTGTAATCTGATAGACTAGACTAGACTTATTTGTAAGCCTATAGACTAGACTAGACTTATTTGTAAGCTGATGGTCTAGTCTAGACTTATTTGTATGCTGATAGACTAACTTAATTGTAAGCTTATAGACCAGATTTATTTGTAAGCTGATAGACTAGACTTAACTGTAAGCTGATAGACTAGACTTATTTGTAAGCTGATAGACTAGACATATAAGACGAAAACAAAATTTTCCAATGAATAGTTATAAAAATAACAAAGATTTAAAGTCATTCGAAGCGATGGTAGACAAAGGCAGAACGTGCTAAAACAATCAGAATCTTCAGTTGTACTGAATTTTACATCTTGAGAACATGCCTGGAATGTCACCCTCGAAAACATCCCTGAAATGTCCACCTTGAAAGCATACCTGGAATGTCCACCTTTAAAACATACCTAAATGTCCACCTTGAAAGCACACCTGGAATGTCCACCTTGAAAACACATACGCTGGATGTTCTACTTGAATAAATAACTGGAATATCCATCTTGAAATTTATCTGGAATATACTTATAGAAAACCTACCTGGAATGTCCACCATGAAAACCTACCTGGAATGTCCACTTCGGAATCATACCCGGAATGTCCACATTGAAATCGTACCTTTGGAATGAAGTGCTCACACTTAAAATGAAAACATTCTTTAACATTTTCCTTAAATCATTACAATTGGAAATCGTTTTTCACCATGATCTGACCATCTCGTAACATGTCTTGAATAGGGGTGGAAGGAGTTGCCGTAAACATTTTGCTATAAGAATGTATATAATTTTTTATTGTAGTGTTAAAATTTAAATTTAAAAGAAAAAAATGAAAAAGTTTATTCACCCCCCCCCCCCCCCCTCTTGAATAGGGGTGGAAGGAGTTGCCGTAAACATTTTGCTATAAGAATGTATATAATTTTTTATTTTAGTGTTAAAATTTAAATTTAAAAGAAAAAAATGAAAAAGTTTATTCCCCCCCCCCCCGCCCCCATAGATTGTAAAACAAGGTTATTTTATTTGACCACTGTACTCGGCTATTTTATACTAATACTAATGTTGTTTTTTTTAAAGTATGTGATGCAAATGTTGATTAATTGATAATACGTTGAATGGCAAAATATGTTAGAGATGACATATTTTTATCTCCGTCATATTTGGTCTATACTTGATAGGTATGTACACCATAATTAGATGATTTGTCATTTTAATGGTATATGGTCTTGGAACAATGACGTAGTCTTATTGATATTTTTTTAAAAACATAAATGTAATTATGTCATGTATATTCATGTAGACTAATTTATTTTTAAACGCTTTTAAGGCGCATAGAACAGTTGTAAGTTTTCAAATGATTTTTTAAGACGATGTAGATGTATGAAATCCCATGATATCTATAATTTTTGGGTTAGACTGTGTAGGTCAAATTTTAGAGTTTTTTTATTAGACCTGTCCTCGATTTAGGGGTGGAGTTGCATTTTAAAGCCCTAAGAGGCAACATAGGTACAAGAGTACCTTATTATATTTTGTATGACACATATATTGGTTAAATTATATTATATATATAACATTAAATAATGGATACGAATTGAATTCTGGTTTGTTTTTGTTTTTTAAATTAATATTTATAGTTTCTGTGAAATGCGGATGCTTTTTCAAAAGGAAACAGACGGTGACATGAATAGAAAAACAGATTGCATTGGGAATAGAGAAACATATATTGACGGATCAAACCTTAAGTTCAACCGACACATCTTATGATTGCTTAAGTTTTTAAAAGAAGTGTAGCGTTCCTTTTCATACGTAGGGAAATCGACCAAGCAACGGGGTTTTAGCACGTATAGAAGCTAAAGAGTGTTTGACAGCAAATGTAGCTACATGAGCACTGTATAGGTTTTGTATATCAAGGTTGGTTCATAAAATGATTAAAGTCATCAATCGACAATAATTTGTAAATGTAATTGAAATTAATAAACTAGATCATTTTTGGAGGGAAATATTTCTGTGCTAATGTAATCTAGAAACGTTATGGTAAGCGATGCCACAGAGTCATCGTTAAAAATATATAACGTAAAACAATTGTATTTTTAAAAGTCTATGATATTGTAGTGTGGAATTATGAGGAATATCACATATTGTTGAATTACAGGACCTCAGAACCATGTGAGGTGATTACTGTTGTGATTATTCGAAGTTAGTTTAAGGCTTAACAGGTAGTTGCACAAAAAACAGATTAAAAAGTTTGATCTTATAGGACAATTTATTTCTTGGAAAAGTAACCTTTTTTTTTTTAAATGAATAATATAAAAAGAAATAATTAAAAAACAAAAAAGTTATCGCTTCAGTTTTAGACACATGTAAAATACATTTTTCGTTCAAAAATGCTTTACCAGTGCACGACATAGCAACATCTGTTTCGGAATCAATTTGCAAAAATAACATCTCAGTTGTTCAGTTAAATCGCACGACTTAAACGCTTTGCAGCCATGAGGGTCAAAGTCGTCAGTTTAAAGAAAGGTTTATGGAGAAACAGATGGCAAATAGAGACCTTATGTTAATACTTTGCTTCCCTTCGATTAGACTAAGCCCTTATGTAGTGCAAGGCCATGGCACTCGCTAAGCGACAATTGATTATATAATATTTGAATGACCCAGCTTTTGATGATATAACAAAATTGAATTTTAAAAGACGGAAGTGGAAAGTGAAATCAATATCTAAAGATGTAGACAGTATAAAACCATAACTATTTCTTATTAATTCCTCTCTAAATAGCAGTATGGATCTTGCAACGCTTATGTTGCAATAGTAAACAACCATTTTGTAACGGTTATTTTTCCCCCGCCAATTATCAAATAAGTAAATGTTGGATATGTGAATGAAGTAAGACATCTTTAACGTAATCTTTACAATGCCAGTCATAAACAACCATTATTGGTCAGTATTTTTCCCGCAATTCGATCGGTCTCTATTTCAAATATACAAAATCAGCCATTTTTTAAAAAAAAATATGTGTCAATTTATTTTATTTTTTTTAAATAAACGGGGATTTAAAATTATAAAGTTAAAATGACAAAACTCAGTTTTAATATTTAATTACATAATATAATTTTGCGCAAACATTTTGATGGCAAATCATGGTTCATTGATTATAGTATATGGATTCCAAAGGATTTTTTTCCAAACTCATATGTTAAAACAGAGATGGATAATTTTAGACCAAATTATTATTTTTTTAAACGTGTTCTTTTCTGTCACCAGGCTTGGTTGTGGGTACACATGATCAGAACACAACAGGGCTTCAAGTTTTGGGAGTGCATCACCGTGAAGTGAGTGCAGCACCGTGACGTGAGTGCACCACCATGACGTGGGGGCACCATCATTACGTGAGTGCACGGCCACGACGTGAGTGCACCGTCATGACGAGATGGCATCACATTGATGAGAGTGCACCATCTCGATGTTAGTTCACCATAGTGACGTGAGTTTACCACCGTGACGTGAGTGCACCGTCTTGGCGTGAGTTCATCATTTGTCACTTGAGTGCGTCACCATGACGTGAGTGCACCACCTTGGCATGAGTTCATCATTGGTCACGTG